CTGTATAGCTCGCCTAAATAAAATAATTTTATTCAAATACTTTCATTCTTCGGTTACATCGAAGCTATAATATCCTTCACAGGAAAAAGATCTTTAACTTGATTTTCAGCTAACAGTTGTATGGGAACTATGTGCTATCGGGGTCCGATCTAAACAATTTGTTCGGAAATTATAGGGTTCGGTTGTAGGGACAAGAAGCGAGAGCGAATTTCCTGAAGATATCTCGTCATATCAGAAAGTTTTGCGTGCAATCACTTGATTCCGATCGTTCAGTTTGTATGACAGCTATCTGTTAGAAGTTAGATAGAAGGACGTGTGTAAATTTTCAGATGAATACCTCAATAACTTATGGACTATTTCGTATGTGTACAGACGGACAGATAGACCGACGGACATGGCTAAATCGACTCAGCCCATCACGCTGATCATTTGCATATGTATAATATATACTTTATAAAGAATCCAGTATTTTCTTCTGGATATCAGAGTATACCTAATTACCAACTATATGATAATTTATCCCATAAAGCCACAGAATACGCACTTAAGAGCTTTTAAGTTTATAATTTACTTCCAGTATATAACTTATGCTCTAGCAAATTTTAGACAAGGCAAGTTTAATCAGTTCAATATGATATACTAGAAAATTGCGGTACTCACTGAAGTCAAAATGAAGTATTTATAAACCTAACTACCATAAATTGAATTTAGATGAAAAATTCCAAATACAAACATTGATTAACAACATCAAATACTACACAATTATTTTGGGAATTACAACAATTATCTGCAAATATCAATACTAATTAAGTGTAGTCCTCAGAAACACTTTATAGCCAGGAATGTGCTTATAATAATAAGCATGTGCTTTCAAAGCGCCTTCCAGGCTTCACATTAAATTTGAATAATGAGCAAGCAATCAACAATAAGTCAACTTCATAATAAGACAAAATTATTTCGTTTAACTGTTAAATACATAGTGCGGCACAAAGAGTCTACGAGCAAATAAATCCTCTGTCAATTCAATATGAAATATTTACTGAGTCAATAATTTATTAATTTTTGAATATTATTATTATTTTTCATTTTAATTAATGAAATGAATTTAACTCATTTTCATTTCCGCTGCTTTTCGCACAAATAAATCAAATAATATTTAATTAAATGAAATATTATATTTACTTATACATATGTACGAGTACATACAAATATAACGGCTATAAGAAGAGCAGCAACTTAAAACTGGAGATAGAATGTATCAAATTAGTTTGTCAGTCAATTTACTCTACAGGTTACAATAACGGTTAAATGAACTAAATAAATAAACTATCAGATTTCGTGCAGAAAGCTAAGTGTGGTGGCAAAGGTAGAAAATAAAGTGAATATGAGCAATGTGGCAAATGTAGGGTTATTCTTGGAATATTTTAATTAATATGAAAATTTGTATGTATGAAGCAGAATTTGTGCTTTGTCTGATATTAATTTCTTGATTGAGTTGCAAAGCCAAAAAAAAAAAAATTTTTTTTTTAAATTTATTTAAAAGTTCGTTTTAAAATATTTAATAAGTAATTTATGCCACGTATCCAAGCTTAGGTTTTTTCCTTAATTTTAAATTTCATATACTTGTATGTATGTATCTGTAGGTATTTATGACCTGTTCACATTTACCATATTTACCGTATATAACAAAATACAAGAAATTATTATAAATACACGAATACTTTACAGTTATTTGGACAACAGATAATGCAAGTACATGTAAATTAGTAGTAAACATGAAAAACAAACAACCACGCCAACATGTAATATCATCTATCAGTCTGTCTCTCTGTCTGTGTGTACAAAATTCAATGCATTTGATGTAAAGTCTAAAATTAATTGCAAAATAGACGAGTATATTTACCATTTGCCCAATGGCAACAAATTCAATTTGTACGAGAATTAATTGAAATATTCGCACTCTGTTAATATGGTACCGCCGTGTCTATGAAGAATACAAAATAGTATGCGAACTTAATGGCCCAGCAGAAATTTAAGCAGCAGAATTGAAAAATTGTGGCAAGAAATGAAAATGAATAGACTTATATAAGGGTTTTTTTTTTTTTAGAAAAACCAAGCTTAATCGTTTGTATCTCTAAAATATTGGAATTTGTTGTTGTAATGAATAATAATAACTTTCAGTTTTCATACCTCGAGCAGGGTATATTAAGTTAGCAACGACGTTTTTAACACCTAAAAGGAAACGGAGACTCTATAAAATATACATATGAATGATCATAGCGACGAGGCGAGTCGATTTAGCCATGTCCATCTGTCCGACTGTATACCATATACGCAACTAGTCCCTCAGTATTTGAGATATCAAAATATCAATATTAAAATCAAGTTCTTCTATAGAAAAATTTTTTATTTGATAAAATATATTCACAATATTTAATTTCATGAGATATTATCCAAGGCAACTGTATAATCTGAGAATTAATTGTTCAGATTGGACCACTGTAACATTTAGCTGCCATACAAATAAAGCGATCAAAATCAAGTTTATGTATGGAAAACTTTTTTTTATTTAAGAAGATATCTTCTTGGCGTGGATTACTGTCAAAAACTGCGCTACAATCTCCAAATATATTTTTCATAAACTAATCAACCTACATCAAGTGTTTGTGTGGAAACTTTTTTTTTTTGCAAAGGGTATTATAGCTTCGGCGCAACCGAATATAACATTTTTACTTATTTTCACACAATTTTAAATTATTGCTTGTAATTTCTTAAGGAAATGTTTAGTTTACATATAAAACGTATATCTATTGTATAATATGTTTATTGCAACTGTGAAGAGCTTTCGATGAATTGCAGAACTTACTGACCATTTCTGGCCTCTACACGCACCTCTCTCCACATATTTGAGAATATAAGAGTGTAATCTGGTTATCAGAAATTAATTCGATTATATTTTTAAGCGCTTCGCAAGAATTCATCATCGAAACGGCTCATTCTACACGCAAGCCATTCAATTTCCTACTGGGTATCTCAAATGTTGCTTGTTTTCAATGTTTTCTAGCAACACGAGTCATTTAATTATTTATGTTGCTGTTGATTTTGTTCGTCATAATTGTTTATTTGATAAATTCGATAGTAATTTACGTTGCCAATAACATAAACAGCTCAGCAAACAAATAAAGATACAAAGCACAACTTATCAGCTTTTGCCACAACTTAATAAATAAACATGGAAATAATCAAGGTAGCTTGGATTGCAAAGAACTTGTAAATGTATACACCCAAGGTCGACATTTTACACGGATAAATCGCTATTTAGTATTTTGAGCTGTCAGCACAAAAGCAAAAACAAAAACAAATGCACATCATTAAAATACGCCAAAGGTATATTCTGCTTGTAGCCGATTAGCAGCTGACAAGACTTTGGTTTGCATGGCAACTAATGAAAGCAAATTGTGTCTCTGTATATGTATGCATGTATGTATGTGTGCATGTGTGGGTGAGCTTTTGAGTTCAGCAGTTATAAAGCGCACAGCAGATAATCGCGCTAGCAACATCTCATTTCTTTTCAAATTACCAGCTTTCACCAGCAAAACCTAGTCCACACTTATAGTGAGTGACCGCACTTTTAGCATATTTAACTGAATTTTATGACAATTCGCTGGCTGTCATCATTGATGTTTTTACATCAACAAATAGTTGAACAACAACAAGAGCAAACAATTTACAAAAAAAAATATGTAAATGAAATTGACAACAACAACTGCAAAATTCTAAACCAACAATTAATGCCATTTAAAATGACCGCAATCACGCACACATTTCTTTTTTTGAATTCGCTTTGCTTTTTCCAATTTGCTCTTTTGTGGTTGCATTTTATATTTCATGCAGTCTGCATATTCTAAAGTGCACAAAATTGCAAATAATAATTTCAGTTTTCATTTGCCCTTCTATTTGTTGCCACTCAAATTGTTGCTCATTTCACTGTAATGACTTTTTGAGTTACTCCTTCGTATACGCAATAATATTGCATTTTGCATTTTGCACTTAGCTTCAAAATAGCTAGATAATGAGAGCTTTTGCGAGTTTGATTAGTTTCGCAATTAATTTTTTAGCATGCTTACTTTCTATCAGTTGGTCGTGTGTGAATTTGGGACTACTCCTTTTGTATACCAAATCCATATCCGATCAAATTTGACTCAGACTTGATTTTTGACCGACCTTGACGTGGTCTTTTAGGTTTCGGCACATTTTTCGAGTGGCATTTGTTAGATTGTTGAATGTAGAGACCCAGCTACGTCGTCAAGCATGTCTACTCGACATCGGTTTTGCAAAAAATTGAGGTTTTTTGTTACGAGTCTACCAATGACACTCTTAATACCCAAAATATTAACAAAAATGAGTTCAGTCAATCCATAAGAAATATTAAGATCCCTCGAAATTTATCGATTCGGTATACGCGCGCATTTTATATGGAACAGTCCCGATCAAATTTGATCAGATGTTCTATATATACATATGTATAAGCAAATAGTATTCTAGAAACTTGCCTACATATTTATTGTTATATGTTTTGATAAAATACCATGCTATTGCTATAGAATTAAATTTCTTCATAACATTTATAAAACTGGTTCCTCATTCAATACAACCGGTTCGCCATCCAATTTCCGTATTGTGGGCAAACGTTTTATACACTCAGCGCGCCATGTCGCCTCATCCATGCCTTCGGATATAGGATTTCCTACTACCACAAGATCTTCCAACGCTTCCAGTTCTTGCAGCCGTGTAAGCTCACTCCAATCTTTGATCAAATTATTACTAATATAAAGCACTTTTAAAACTTTCAAAGCTGAGAGGCCCTTCAGCTTTTCAATTAAATTGTAACTAAGCCACAGCTCGATGAGTGTGTCGGCGACAGCTTCCTGCAAAGAAATACAAAAATAATCAGCGAGTTAAATTTTGACAAATATTTGGAAGTCAGTATCAAGAGGTCCTACCAATCCTGATACATTTTTAATGTAATTCCGCGACAAAGAGAGCACACGCAAGTGTTTCATGCCATTCAAGCCGAAAATTTTCTCTATCATATTTGTAGAAAGACTCAGTCGTCTGTTAAGTAATTAAATGTTGATTTATTTATTAATTTCGATCACAAGCTGCGACACTTACTCACAATTAACTAAGTTACTAAGCGTGCTGTCCATTTTTTCGATTGGCGGCCATTGAAATTGCAACTCGATCACTTTAGACTCGACGGCACTTTGTTGCTCACGTTCTTCCCAACGTTTAAGCGCTTCCTTAATTGTTGTGGCTTTTGACATTGTTGAAATAAGTTTAGTGCTCAAAAACTTGCCTAAAGTGGTAATAATTGAAATAGTTTTTTCTTCTAGCAGTAATATTAATTGATAAAACATTTGAGTTGTTATGACTACTACAGCGACTTGCTAAGCAATCGGAGGCTAAAATAGTAGGAAAGAATACCTCCACTAGTGGTAAATAGGTCGAGATAAAGCCGCTGTTGAGAAGGATACGGATTTATATAGAACGGAGGACTATTACATTCATAACTGTTCCTGAAATACTTCATATTAGCATAGGTACAACTGCACTGCTTAGCTTAAAAGTCTTTATCCTCGTGATAATAATCATTTGTGTTGATAAAACGGGTGAAATTAAGAGCAGTGTTCCCAAAATATGAACTCTTCAAAGCAATCATTCTCTTGCAGCAAATTTTTGACTACACTTTAACTAATATTATTTACCAACTTAGGGTTGTAAACAGGTTTAAATGAGCGAAAGTACAGTCTTTTGTGAATTAAATCTGGTAAATTCCAATAAAGCTTCTGATCTAAAACTTTTCGGACCGACATATCATCGAAAAATTATGCTTCTTGCACCATTCATTTTTACCACTAAACAAATTTTACATAATCCATCCCAAATAAGTCGGGCCTACGAACTAAGTTCACAACTGCATACCACAGAAATATCTAAGAAATGTTTTTTTATACCCTCAACAGAGGATATTAAGTTTATCATGAAGTTTTCTACACACAGAAGGAAACATCGGAGACCTTATAAAGTATATAGGTATATAAATGAGCAGCGTGACGAGCTGAGTCGATTTAGCCATGTTCTTTCTGTGTAAACGCAAACTTGTCTCTCAGATTTTGAGTTATAGATCTGAAATTTTGCACACGTTCTTTTCTCCCCCAGATACTAGTCAATTGTGGAAAATATCGTTATCGGACCACTATAACATATAGCTGTCATTCAAACTGTACGATCAAAACAGAGTCCTTGTATGGAAACGTTTTTTATTTGCCAAGATATCTTCATGAAATTTGGTACTAATTATTGTGAAAATCAACGTTATAATCTGAGAATAAATTGTTCAGATCGGACAACTGTAGTATATAGTTGCCATACAAACTGAATGATCAAAATCAAGTTCTTGTATGGAGAGCTCTTTTATTTGACTAGATATCTTCACGAAATTTTTAATGGATTAGTGTCCAAAGCAACGGTATAATCTCCAAACAAATGTTTTAGATCCGACCACTATAGCATATAGCTGCTATACAAGCTGTACGATCAAAATCAAGTTCCTGTATGTAAACTTCTTTATTTTTGAAGTGAGTTCGGTGCAATCGTAGTTAACGTGTTTTCTTGTTTTTTTTTTTTTGTTACAACAACAATAACTTTATCATAATTTTATATAAAGGGCCTATACTCTCAGTTAAGGCCGGGCATAATCGGCAAGAAACTCAATTATAAATTGCCAAGGACTCCCACACCGCAAAATAACATTTTTATTGCCCATAAATAAATGATTACTGTAAAACAAACTGTGAAAGCATTTTTCATAACCAATTTGACCTTGACATTCGCGTTGATTATAGCGCGAGTAAGCAACAACTTCATTAAATATGACAAATTGATGTAAGAATTTTTAAAGAAACAGTTCTGTTATTTAAAAAATGGCAAAAAGGCGTTTCTGCGGTTACAATTTCAAAAATGCGTGGGATAAAGAATGTGTCACGCCAATTTACCGTTAATACCAAATGTTAGCAACTCATCTAGAAAATAAATTTTACGAAAATAAAAATGAATATAAAAACCATAACAACAGCTTTGCTCCACACAGTGCCAGTTTCGAGTGTGACCTCATTTTTAAATAACGCGCCATGAACGCTATCGAACGCAACACAAATTTCACACGCTTCACCGCCGGCCCAGTTAGATATTTCAAATTTATCGGCATTTGCTTGCAACCACCGGAAATGCCGCACACCAAATACAAGCGCATGTTGACTGTGCTCACCATAGCGCTAATGTTTCTGCATCAGATCGCCTATATACTAGAACCCGGACGCACTTTTGCCGAACAATCCGCCGCTGCTGGCCTGCTCAACTACACCACCGTTAGCGGCGGAAAGATACTCTTTCTCATCTACAATCGCCGCCTGCTGCTGAGCAATCACTGCCAATTGGCTGCATTGTATCCGAGCGCAGCGATAGAGCGCCACTACAAATTGGAGCATTATCTGCGCATATATGCGCGCGTACAAACGCTGCTCTACAACTTTTTCAAATACATTTTAATCATATACCTAATATATCCTATAGCGCAATCATTCTACGACTTATGGTCCAGCGGCGTCTACTCATACATCATGCCTACACTTTTCTGGTATCCCGTGCCATTGGAGCAATCGCTGTTCGTTTATATCGTTTACTTGTTATTCGCGTGTTTTTGCAGCTTTTGTGCGGGCTTAATTATATTAAGCGCCGATTTGTGTCTCTTCAGTTCGGTATCGCAATTAATGTTACATTTGGATTTGTTGGCGCAGCGCATAAGCGCACTGCGACCGGCTGAGGAAGGAAGTTTAAGTGCGTTGAAAGCGATCATTGAGTATCATCAAAAGATTTTGACGTGAGTGTTGCTTTAAATAATGTGGAACGCTTAGTTGCATAACATTTTGTATCACTTGCTTTTAGACTTGCGCACAATGTGAATAGCATTTTTGCGCCCTCGATACTTTTCAGTCTGGCTTCGTCATCGTTTATACTTTGCTTTAGCGCCTATCAGCTACTCGATGATGTCTCCTTCATTTTCGTTTTGAAAGTGTTCCTTTTACTATGCTACGAAATGAAGCAAGTGGTCATCACTTGCTACTACGGCGACAAACTGATGGATAGTGTAAGTGATACGCTTACTAAGCCGTTTAAATATTCAAGAATTTTTATATCTTAAAGAGGGTATATTAAGTTTGCTACGAAGTTTACAACATCGAGAAAGAAACGTCGGAGATCTGTAAAGTATAATATATACATAAATTGCATAATGAGCTTAGTCGATTTAGGCATGTTCCTCTGTCTGTCTGCCTATTTGTATATACACGAATTAGTCCCTCAGTTTTTGAGATATCGATCTGAAATTCCCTAGATATTCGACCACAATAGCATATAGCTGCCATACAAATTGATTGAACAAAATTTAGTCGTTGTATAGAAAACTTTTGTATTTGACGAGATATCTGCACGAAATTTGCACAGATTATTGACCAAGGTAGCACTATATATATACAAACTGACCGATCAAAATCAAGATAAAAGAAAATAAATAAAATAAATTTTTCTTGGTTCATTATTTCTTTTACTGCTGACAGAGTGCAAATCTCTTTACCGCTGTTTACGCACACAATTGGACCGATGGTTCACCAGTTTACAAGCGCCTCGTTTTGTTTATGTTGGTACGCACTTATCGGCCCATAGCATTGAAAGTGGCTGGCATATCAGACGTTTCGCTTATCACACTCAAACAGGTAAAGCAACATTTTGCACTAATTATCAGCATATGAAAATAACTGAAATTGCGTTTTTTAAATTACTTGCAGGTCTTAAGCACCTCTTATCAAATTTTCACCGTTTTGAAAACAACATAAATGAAAAGCATGTTTTTTTTTGTTGTTTTGAAAAGTAATTCAAATTCACATATTTATTAGTTAAATACACAAATTATTTCATAGCACAATGTAAAAGTACATTATTGAGTTTGTTACAAATCAAAAAGAAATAAAAATAAAAGCTAAAGGTTTCAACATTTTGCCCGCCCAACAGCAGCCCAACCGCCCACTTGCCACACGCTTAACGTCTGTCCGTTTTGCCCGTACCACGTTTTCCAGAGTACAAATGCTTGGGCATTTTGGTGCCGATAAAACGATCGGCTTCGCCCTTCAATCCCAGTCGTGTCACCTTCTTAGCAATGTCGCGTTTCGCCATCAGTTGCGCCTTCTTCTTCATCGCCACATTCTTGACACCCATTGTATCACGCGCTGGCGCACGCTTCAATGGCTGGCCTGTGCGCTTCACTACCGCTGACGACTCCTTGTCCAGCAGTGGTTTCTTCAATTCCTTGCTGCCAACAGGTACCACACCGCGACGCAGATCCACCACGGATTTTGTGAAATTGGCATTTTCGCTGCCAGACATGTCGACACCCAGATTCTGCATGGTTTCGCGAAGTTTAGCGACCGAACGATCACGCACCTTGGGTTGCTTGTGACGTGGAATTGCTGGCTTGTTCTTTTTCGATGCCAGACGACGGTCGTCGCGCAGTTGGAAGCGTTTGCCGCGTATTTGTTTGGCCATATCGCGTATCTCCTTGAGTGTTTCATCCATGGTCATATCAGGTAGAGCGTATACACCGCCTTCTTCGCGTATACCCTCATCACGTTCGAGTTCTTCCAATTTGGAAAAGATGTCGGGATCAATGTAGTCGGCAATATTGTGACCATCCCAAATTTCGGGTATAACATCGTAGCGCTCCTCTTCGGGTATTTCGGTGTAATTCTTTTGCAGATCCAACGTGTAATCATCGCCCATTTCCTCTTCAATATCACGTTCGAGTTTGCGTTTACGTTCGGCTTTCTCTGCTTTCATTTCAAGACGTGCCAACGCTTGCTCGGGTATGCATGGTGCACGTACCTTATCATCACGTGGTTTAGGTTCTGCTACATGCAGACGATTTAGTATATTATCTACCTTCTTTGTGCGCATTTTTTGTTCGACACGGTAGGAAAGCAGACGCTCACAAGCTTCCATTTTTACTTCCATAACACCCTCGTCACTGACTGTGGATGTGAACATTACTGGCACATTTTTATCTTCCTGCAATTTGGTGATAATAGCACGACGTTCCTCCGATAAATCTTCAAGACCAATAATATCGATTTTATTGATGGCCAAAATCAAAGGCTTGTTTGTGAATAGCGGTTTAATGCTCTCGAACAATTGCACTTGTTCTTCTATTGAATGACCGCACTGTTCAGAGATATCCATGAAGTACAGCACACAAGAACGCAAATGCGCCAAAGCGGTGATGGCTTGCATTTCAATGACATTACGTTCCTCTAGTGGATGATCTAAAATACCGGGTGTGTCGATGACCTATAATATTGTAGAGAGCACAACCGATTAATAGAACACTTGCATACTTGTTTTATTATTTATAAACTCACCTGCCAGCGCAAATACTTGTAGTCTGTGTGTCCCACATAAAGTGACTTGGTGGTGAAAGCATATGGCTGCACTTCTACATCGGCGCGTGTAATCTTATTGATGAACGACGACTTACCCACATTAGGAAAACCACAAATAATAATTGTACGTGAATAGGGATCAATGGTAGGCAAACGTGATAAATGTTGACGCACTTGCTCCAAATATGTAAGATTCGAGGCTTGCTTCTTTAAAATTGTGGCCATACGACCCAGCGCTGCTTTTTTTAGCTGCTTGCAACGATAAAGCGAATCACCATATTTCAACAAGCGCACATAATCTTTGGCAACGCTGTAAATTTTAAATAAATAAATAAAATTACACATGGCTAAATGTCAACAAAAATTAAACTCACTTGTCAATTAAGTGTCTAGCTGTGTTCAGCTGACCCAAAGCCAATTTGTAATGGTCCTTATCGTACAAGACATTCATCAAATCGGCATAGAATGGATGTACGTCATCTAGTTTCGGAAAATCCTGTATAATCTGTGACAGACGATCGTGGAAATTCTGCTGCGTGTACTTGACTTTACGTGTGTAGAAGGCACGAATACGCGATATCTTATAACCCTTGTGCACAACTGTTGGTGTCTTGCGCTGTGTCTTTGAGAGCATAATATCGATAAAGTCCTGCCATTGTTGTTGTAAAATAAACAAATGTACATAAATATTAGCAAATATGAAATTTCACAATAGATTGTAAACAGACAACAAAAGCGAATGCTAGTGAGGTTATGTGGGAGGTGCTTCGCAACTAAGTTCTAAGCACAATCATTTCACTTTTGTTTTGGTAAAAAAGTAAGTTATATTTTTACATACCTTTGCTGGCGGAACCACCATAATCTTTTTGAAGTTGTACAAACTCATTTTGTTGTGAAAATTTTATTCTCTTCACAATAAAAAAATTAATTTTAAATGCGATTGCGTTGCGTATCAAACACACGCGGTGCAATGCAAAATGAAAAAGGAATGAATGGCAATGCCGCATAACAGATGTGCCAGCTGTTGGTCGACGCGTTGCCAAGTGTTGTTAGTATTACAATTTTACATATCCAGCGGCGCCACCTATCTGCTCATAGCTGAGTTATAATTCAAATGCCAAAGATCTACCGTTTATTTAAAACGTTTCTTGCATTTTATTATTTTTTGTGCGTATCTTGTTCATTTTATTAAAAAAAATCTTTTAAAATGCGGTGAAAGAAGTTTATGTTATATATGTAGTGTTGGGTGCACAGGTGCCGGCAGTGATAGAGGTTTCATCTAACTCACTTCTCGATGTATATATTTCGCATATAGAAGGGAGCGCACGCTCACAATTTACCGTTAGCCAAGTGTTCTCGTTGCTCACTGCAATGCAGCTAATATTCCCAAATATGTCACTGAAATTAAGATAATATCTAATATAAAACAAAGAAAAAACATTTCACCAACAATTACCCGGTACGTGGATGACCCGGCGCCCATGCTGCGTATTGGAAGCAATGCAAGGGCTCACTTTCCATATTTCTATACACAATATTTTCACTGCTGTAGGAGCGATTGAAATGCAGGCCAACATAAGCCAAAGTATGCTGCCGTTCACGCTGTTGCCGTGCTGCCTCATTGAAGCTGCGTAGCAACGCCGCAAAACCATCCGTGCGCAGTGCTGATGCAACATGCGCCAACATGGCCACACCACCAACATCTGTTGCATTGCGACAATGCCGTGTGGCATTAACGAAACTCGCCGATCTCACTTGCAATTGGAACAAGCCCACTTGTGGTATGCAAGTGTAATTGCGAGTTGCTAAATTGAAAAGTGTTAAAAATATAGAATTCATTGTGTATGGTTGTTGTTAGTATACACACACACACCGATTGGCTCGCCGTATAAACTGTAGAAATCATAGCGACTGTCATTCACCAGACTACGCATCGTGTTATTCTCGGGGCAGGCGAGTATGTGACAATTGAAATGCTGTTCTGGCTGCTGCCAAACGCTTTGCCGATTTTCATTGTTGTGTGTCGAATTTGGACGCGTGACTTTGAAGGAAAAATTTTATTTTTATTTAAATTTGAATACTAAAATTCACATTTTGCTTTCATACTTTGTTGTAGCCTCGTTAGCAGTATTTCAAAAGCATCACTGCCCTCCACCATCTGCTTGCTTCTTATACGCGTGCCAAAATTCAAAGCCAAACCGCGCGCTAATTTCGCCTCACGCACGCAATCCTCTAAGGTAAATGCATTTTTGTAAGCGATCGCCGGCATTTCTGAGCGTTGACACGTGCGTACGAGACTGAATTTTAATTTATCCAAATGTGTGCCGCGTGGACATATCGCCTTGTTGTGTAAAATTTCAAGTGTTAACAGCAGCAGTAGCGTCAGTACACGCGCTGATGGCATTCTGTTGCATACTGACATGCGTTATCTGTGTAAAAAGATATATTATATGTGGCGCCTAAAGTGATTTGGAGGTAAAACATATTGCGTGTGTGCCAATCAAGTCAACAAGAAAAGGTTATAATAGTTCTTCTGTCGCTCAACTGTCAACCTTTTTATTAGCATTCAACTTGTTAGAAAGGCCTTTCTGAGAATGGCTACGTCGTAATTAGGTATATGACTATGGCAAGGGACTTTGGAAGGTTACTATTAAATGCTAATTTAGTTATCATGCTATGACAACTGAAACAAAAAGTTTATAATTATTCTTTTAAAAAATCATATAAAAAATTCCAAATTTCAAAAGCTTTTAACACGTTCAATCATACAATGATATGACATTGAAAAATCTAACTCTCTTCAGAATTAAAGAGGTGGGTCATGCATTATCTGAGCTGTCGACAATCGTCCGTACTATTTCGAAGTCACAATTCTAAGTTAAGAAGAATTACATAGAATGTTCCGCAGGGTGGTGTGCTCTCCCCGCTATTGTTTAACTTCTATAGCTCGAGACTTCCTCAACCACCAAAAGGAACTTCCATCACCTCATACGCCGATGAATGTACGATATTGAGGTCAGACAAAGGAATTGATGGCATGTGCCCGAAAGTAGACAGCTAGCTCACCAATCTTTCTCGCTTATTTTCTGCAGAAGCCTAATACTCTCCTCATATTTACGAACTGGACGATGGAGTATAAACTGGATCTTAATATCGCAGTCTCCCATTAAGAAACAGAATGCACTACTCTCCCAGCTTCTGAGAGATGCTTTCATAGAAATCACTCTGGATCATGAAGGACGCAACTAACTTCATATATGCGCTAAACGTCATTCGCAGTAGAGTCATTAACACTTTCACCGACTCACTGTGAATGGTGTACTTGGAGTCAAACCACCATCATTGCAAACAAAGAACTTGAGTTGCGAGCCTCTCAAATCTAGAGTGACCTTGGCGCAACTTCGTTCTAGATATTATAGCAGGTTAAACTTCTACCTTTCCAAAATAGACGCCAACATATCAAATATATGTCCTGCAACGAGTTCCCGCATCTAACCATCTCTTTGCATTTCCAATGAATCCCAGCTCGCTGTGGTCCGATCACGTCGAAACAGCGCGTTTCTTGAGCCTCCCGTTAGATGATTTCGATGACAATTTTCTTGAGCTTTGCCAACCAAACCGGGTCTAGATAAACGCTCCAACCAGAGCAACATTGTTTTTAGAGTTGATATACATATAAAACTGCGAGCGGAGACTGGAATTAATTAATGGCGTTTGAGGGTGAAACTGTACTGCTGAGGCTTACCTTTTTGTTTTAAGTGACGTGACCTCAATAGTGTATTAATAAAGAATTTAGTGTTCAGTACTATCGTCGCTAAATATTTTTTATGGTATCCTCAATAGGTAAAAAACCAGTTATATGTATATCAACTAAGCTCAATATCGGACCAGTTCATGTAACTATTTAGAAAATAATTGATTATATTACAACAATAAAAACAATATATTTTCTCACCTTTAGAAATATAGTTTCGAAAGTCCAAGAACGCCAATTTTTCCATCTTGGATCCCTGTTTATCACACAGTGCACTAAGAGCTTTCATAGCCCAAAATAACTGTTCTTTTATAAAATAATACAATATAACTTACGTTTTTTGAGTATCAAAACCAAATATCCACCCATTTATACACAAATCATTTTCTGGACGTTTCAATTTAAGGGCCTTTATTATTTTCATAAATTTTATAAGTACATTTTTATTTCATTTTCACGCCATAACGACACACTTTACATTTTATGAATTTAAAACGCATACATTTTTAGGTTACATCTTCTACTTCTACTTCCCATACTACATAATTGGTTTTAACAAATAAATTAGTTCGATTTATATCTGATTTGATAGTTTAGTTAAATAGTAAAAAAAAAATATTTTAAAGTACATACAAAGTTAAAATATTAAGATTTAAGTTGTAATGACAAGATAGTACGTAGTATACACAATATTCTTCTCATTTCTTCACAGTTTTTTTGTTGTTGTATTTCAAATCTTTAATTTGTTGCTTTATGTTAAAAGCCCATACGAAAAGTTATTAATTTTAGTTGTTAAAAAATTTTATTTTTCTAATTTTTTTTCTTTCTCTAAATCTTCAAAATTCTCGGTTTTCGAATACATACAAAAACAATTTCAATATAGAGGAGAATAGGTTAATAATTTAAATATTTATACGTTATATTAGAATTAATAGTTAATAGTATCACCTGAGCAGGTTGTGCGCATTCGTTGTACATACAAATTACACAAAAACAAAAAGCATACTTTTGTTGTAATATTTGACATTTTTGCTGCGGCGCGCCAACCAAGCGTTAAGATTAAGTGTAGCAAATTGACCACCACCAAAAAAAAAATTCAAGTTTTATGAGTACTTTTACTTGCTCCAGCTGAACAAAGGCGCCTACGAGCATGCATTGCATACTTTTAGGTGTTATACCTTTGCGATATTAAAGGGCAATCCTTCTAAGCTTACATATTTTGCTTTCATCAACATTTTTTATTCTCTTCTTTTTTACTAATTTTACCATTTAATTTTTTATTGCCCAGTAATATCTGCGCTGTTTACATACATATACTGACTGTATTGAAGTGTGCTTGTGTGTGCGTGAGTGTATATGGTATTGGGTATACAATATTTTATAATAAATGTAAAGACTTGCTTTGCTAGGAAGCGTGTGCCGTGGCTTACTATAAACTTAAAGTTAATACATTCATTATTTTAATTAATACATTAATTAATTAATTGCATTTTTATGGGCAGCTCGAGTTGGCGCTGAGCAAAGTGCAGCCGGAAAAATTAGAAAAATATTTTAGTTTTCTTTTTCTTTGCCTTTCTACACTTTTGCTCTGCGCCTTACACATTTATACGAGAAAAAACTATTGTTTATTTTTTTATTTCCACTTATTCGTCGTTATTTGTGACCTTAACAACTAAACACAATGACTACTATAGACTGCGCTTATTTGCAGCGGCAGTGTACAAAGAAATTTTTAACTTCTCTTACATCAATATTTCGTTTTGCTTTAAAACACTTTTAGTGTTCATGTGTGGTGTTGTGTGCGTGTGTAAACAGAAAAATAAAGAAAATCTTTCAAAAAACAAACTTTCGAAATTTTTTTTTTCAAAAATTAAAACTTTTCAAAATTTAAAAATTTTCAATGTAGAAAAATTCACAATTTAAAAATTTTTAAATTTAAAAATTTTCAAAAATTAAATATTTTTAAAACTAAAAATTTTCAATATTAAAAATTATTTTCAAAAATTAAAATTTACAAAATTCGCATGAAAATAAAAAGCTCTAAAAAATAAAAATTTTGCAAAAAAAATTAAATATTTAATTCCTAACTCTTAATATATGTAAGTGTTGACGTGTGTATGTATGTTTGTGTATATATAATATTTTGCATTTAACTGCTATGCGAGAACGCTGTATTCGTATAGGGACCACTATAAATGGAGCTGCCCGAATTCGACACACTCTTCGTGCTCCTTCGGGCCATAATGCAGAGTACGGCGGCAACGACGGCCAACATCAATATGAGACCGGCGACTGCTATGGCAATGGCGAAGGTGCGCTGCGACACGCACAACGCATCCTCAAGTGTCTGCAAACATACAACAAGAACAAAAACAGAATTAAAATATTCAAGTGTGTTAAAAATGTATGCATTAATATTTATTTACCCGCTCCTTGAGCACTGTATCATCATCGCCTTCGGACACATCCACATTCTCGTTCACATACAGACCGGAGTAGACTTCGATGGTGGCCGGTTGGCCGTCTTCGTCTTTGTTATCGTTGTTAGTTTGTCGTTTCGGTCGTTTGCCGCTGCACGTAGGAGGCTGAAAAGCAATAACAATAACAATATAGGTAAAGTAAATTCAAACGCTTTGAAGAATCGTAGCGCAAAATCAATTAGATTTGCACATAAAATGCATTATGGTAATAATGTGGCAGCACTCACCATTTGGCACTCGGGATCCTGCAGGGCGCACAAATGCACATTGCACTGATAGTACACGGATGTGGTGTAGGGGAACTTGTGTGCCGGGAAGGTAACATTGGCCGCCAAATGATCGCTGGTGTAGTTGAATTGGCCCATAATCTCATTATCCATTGGGCAACTGTGTAAAAATTTCAGAAAAGTTATAATTTTAGATTACATTTTTAATAAAAAACAACATGTTTTTAAGTATTATCGAAATTGTATTTATTCAAAAATATATTATTTTCGAAATTTCATTTATTCAAAAATATATTATTTTCGAAACTGTGACTGTTTTTTTAACGAAAATAATGAAACATAAATATTTAAAGCATTTTTTCTTGTATATATTTTTTTTTTTTATTATTTTTCGATAATTTTTTTTCTTATTCTCAAATTGTGTTACTAAACTTTTAAACAGTTTTTATGACTTCGTTGATAGTTTATTGTCAAAACTGTTTTAAAATTATGTGAAAAAGGTAGTTCCGAAAATCAAAATACAAAAATTGTTGTTTTGAAATATTTATATACAATATTTTTTATTTTATTTTTTCACTAAAATTGCATTGGAAGTATGTTCTTTTTCATTTGATAAATATTATATACTTTCAGCCGCGCAGAATACTCTCAATTTTTTCTTCTCGATTTCAAAAGTTCAAGGAAAATATTAAACTACTGTTTAATTTTAAAATTATAAAACAAAATACTCATGAATTTAGTATACCTTTAGGAGCAATCAGAAAAGCCAAGCTACATAAACGTACTTTTCAATATTTTTTGAGAGCGAGAGAAGTATTGTAAATTAAATTTTCGTAACTTTCAACTCAAATTCCTAGAAACTTTTATGGAATATCCCTTTTCATTTTCAAATTGTGGGCGTTGCCTCTTTTTCTTTCTTCCTAAAAAAAAATTTTTCTAACAAAAACAAAATACCTATACTCAAATCTGCTCTCCAGTCTCATAAAATATTTTATATTACTCACCCATCATCGCCCAACAGCCGTTGCTCACCCCAACCTAAACCGTCACGCACAATACAATCGGCCACATGCAGACCGTACAGCTCCTGTTTGTCAATACTGATGACAATCGTCAGCGGATCACCAATTTTCACATCATCAGCAATTTTATGCTCGGAATTGTAGATTTTCATATGGCAACCGGGCATCGGTATCTCATTGAGACTGTCCTCCTCTTGATTGCCCACATCCACAGCATCATCGCTGTCGTCACCGTCATAGACGTCTTCCTGATCGAAATTATCGCCTGTGGCACGATACTTATCCAATGAGCGACCATAATCGCGACGATCGCTACCCACCCCCACAGCTGCCGTTTCAGCGCTACGAAACGCTTGTGGCTTTTGCGCATGCTTGCCACTGTTCGCTTTACGGCGTTGTCCATGCTTCTTCTTTGGCGTAGCCGCATCGCGACTCTTATACGAGCAGCGTACATGATAACCACGACCGGCGTCGGTGATGAGTTTCAAATGTGGTTGCAGGACAATGGTATTGAAGAACTCAATGCCGCCGTCATCCTGGAAGTAGAGTGAAAGAAAATGTGAAGAGATTAGTTTCATGTTTATTTTTAAAAAAGAAAATAGAAATTAAAGTGTATTTTCTTCACTTTTTTATTGCATAAATTTAAGAGGAAAAAATACATTTAAGCTTTTGGAGAAAAATATTGTTTATTCAATTTGTTTAAGTAATTGATTGCACACCACATTTCTAACACGATTACTTATGTAAGCAATCACTTAAACATATTTACATATTCCTCAAATTTGCATTTTCGTATAAATTTTTTAAGGCTGTGCAATAACTCGTCGCTACCTTTTCTCTGTCTCAGACACGCTGCCAGTTTGATTAATATCTAAGTAGCTTTCGAAAGAAGTTGTTGTAGCTTTTTATTTTTTTCTTTTTCTTTTTTTATTAAAAGGAGAATGCCGCTTATGAACGCTCTCTACCGCACTTCGTTCAGTAAACTCATTCGCCCGACCATTTTTCTTTGCAATTAAGCAATCAATCTTCCGCTTGATGTTGTTAAATATTTGCAAACATTTTTATTTGAAATATTTATTTTTGGCTATAAAATTTTGTACCACAACTTTCACAAGTATATAACAATAACATATATATATATATATATATATATATTGCAATAAATTAGTCGTTTACTGGCGTTTGATTGCACTATAATGTTGATGATTTAAATAATTCCAGATATATATTTTTTTTACTTTTTTATATATTTTTTAACATCTTTGCCTAATTTTAGTACAATAAGGCTTAATTCGTGCTTATTTTTCTGCTAGATGATTGATTGAGCAAGGCTGATAGATTTTATAAGAATTTTTTCAGCTGCGTAATACATTAAAATATTGATATTTTCTGCCAATGGATGACCACAATTAAAGAGGGTTTTGTCTTATTGGTTGATACTACATTTTGGTGACCCATTTATACAGTTCTTTCATAAATCGCTTATACTGACCGATACATAAGGAATGAAATTAATTGGAAGTATTGAAATTCTTATATTCAGTATATGAAAGCAAGAGAAAAATATATGTAGTGTACCGCTTTTTTACATTTTTTTAGTGCTGTATATAGCGGCTTTATAAATGGCAACTTTTGCGTTGATATCTTTATTTATGCTGCAAGTAAATTGTATAAGCCCAAATAAGCTAACCGGATTAAATTTTGATCAAGTGAGTAGTAGATGATGTTTCGACCCGATTTGTTACATTTTCAAACCAAATTATTTTAGAAGACTATTATGGAAATTTTTTATATCAAATTTCATTATATTATGCCCAGTTGGTTGGGATATAAAATGTCTTCTTAAAATAGATAGTGTCTAGCCCCTAATCCTATACTTAAATATACGTCTGATACATAATCCTTACAATAAAATCGTACGCTTCTGACTTTGTTAATATATTTATGTATTTTTAGTAATTTCAGAAAACACCGTTATGTAGGCGTTTTTAAATCCGCTTTTTTTTCATCTCAAATTTTAGTCAGAGATGATATAATAAACTTATTTTACTCTATTTTGCCGAGATAGCTCTAGCAGTTGGGATTATCTGTTCGCTATCGCTTTAGACTGTGGGCGCCAAAAAGTATACTAAATAAAAATTAGACTGCTAGTATTAAGTGAGGAAGACACACAAATTTGCTTATATGCCATTAGTTTTATTGTGAAAACTAACGAAAACTACTGTTTTTAATGCCTAAACTTAGGTGACCATATTTGTCCCGACAAAATCGGGGACGGTTTTTTTTAGTCATCGATTTTTTCCATATTATAATTCACTGAAAATCGCGACATATAATAGGTGAGCAAGCAACACAATTTTATTCAATTCATTCTTTTTTTTTAATTCTAAGCCCCGGACGGTCGGGACGCTTAACTCGGAATCCGGACTGTCCCAGCCAAACCAGGACTAATAGTCAGTTAAACTTAAACTAATTGTGTTTATCGGACAAAATAATTGCAAAATCACTCAATTGGACTAAACTCGCCATATTCTATACCACATAAGTTTATGTAGAATTTTTAGCTTATCTTACCCTTTCCCAATTATATTTTATAAATTCTTTTTGGCAAAAAGTATAAGTATTAGAAGAAAGATATATTTAATTAAAAAATGTATCAAGAAAATAAATACATATGAGTATGTATGTGAGATCAAGTTAATATTTTCAATACACTCCCTAAAAAAGAAGCCTTCAAACACATATTTTTACTTATTGTTCTATTAAAAGCTTTACACAAAAGTACTCATAGCATGAAATGAAACAACTATCATTATTAAAAAGTTAATTTACCACAAAAATTTTAATTTAATAATTATATTAAAGAAAGAAACCGATCGCCAACAGTTGAGAAACCTTCATATTCATCATATATTTAATTTTTTATATTGTTATTATTGCCATCAACCACAACCAGCAATTTGCACAATAACGGTTATACACTTCTACTTCCTTATTGCATGCAAATGCACCGTTTTACATACAAATAACCAACAACCACACTTATGTGTAGTGAGTGTTTGTATGTATGAATGTATATTATTGTGTGTGTGTATGTTTGTGCTTGTGCTTCGGCTATCATCGCTCATATGTAATTTGCATTTATTTTCACATTCATCTTCATTACGTTGCTTGGCTGCATAGAAGAGTAGAAATTATAAAGAATACACACGGTAGAATGGCTTGCCTACGTCAAATAATGCCATTAAAATAACGGTGCTTGCTATTCGAGATAATGGTAAACAAAAGACTTAAGACACGAACACAAAATAAATAATTGAAATTTGCATATAATATTATTCTACCTTTTCTTATTTCATTTTTTGGAGTCTATTATATTGAAATGAAAAAAGAGTTTTAAAGCGAATAAAGGAATTTAATTTTTTGATGGTTTTTTTTTGCATATTGTTTAATTAAACTTCATAAATGTGTAGACAAAAGTCTTATGAAATGCATTTGTGCCTGAAAATTATGATTTTGTATTTTTCGGCCCAAAATTTGGCTTTTGAGCCTTTATTGTCTTAGTTTGTGCAATATTTGCCAGAAAAAAATATTTTCAAAGAAATATTTATCTAATCCAATATAGTTCTGTCGCTTTAAGCCGAAATTTTAAGACATTAAACAGTTTTTAGATTAAAATCATATTCTTGGAGCAAATATATGTATATACCTCCAATAACACTAAAACTCGACAAAAGCGCCATCTATCGAAGTTTTAACTTTCTCCAAAGTTTAAAGACATTTTCCTTCTATATGCACTTTCTAGATTTCAATAAATAGTATAACTTATTGAATAAATCGAGCTGAAAAGTTCTCAAACCACCCTCTCTTTGCGTTAACTTGGTACTTCCTGGAAAACAGCTACAATGATTCACAAATATTCACTGCACACACATGCTTATAAAATATATAAGCACATGGGTATTTATGTTATTTGCTCGTTAAGTTAGCATAGTGCTTAGATAGTTAAAGTTAGTATAAATCTATACTAAATTTATCCGCAAAAATATATATACACATATATAGATAAATAATTGCATATATATTAGGGTGAAGAGAAAAAAAAAATAATTTTTTTGCTTAGCCTGGGGGTAAAATCTGTAGATTATAAAAATAGAAAATTTTTGGACAAAAAAAAATTTTCTTGTTTAATATCTAGAGGCACTCAATTTTAAACCAAATTTTCGAGTTAAAATTTTTATTTCGTAAAAAATTTTCGATAAGTGTTCTATAAGCTGTGGAGAGTCTTCTTTCTGGCCCATTAAAAGTTATCAACTTAAAAAAATTTTTTGTGGTCATTATTGGAGTTTAAAAAAAAAGTCTTAAACGACAACATGCTTTCCTTAAGCGTTAAAATAAATTTTGAGTCAAAAACCATCACATTTGGTAATTTTTATATAAATGTAAAGAGTTTAAAACAAAAATAATATTTTCTTGTCCAAAAAAAATTTTACTCGAAATTTACTTTAAAACTGAGTGCGCCACCTCTAGATGTTAAAAAAAAATTTTTTTTGTCCAAAAATTGTCTTTTTTTATAATCTACAGATTTTACACCCAGGCTAAGCAAAAAAATTATTTTTTTTTTTCTTTCACCCTAATATACATACAGAAGTATATCTACACATAGACACAACAATGAAAGACCCAACAAAGCTAAGAGTTGTTTTCTAATCTAACTATTTGCTACACAGCATGATCTCGTGTTTTGTATCTATATACACAGATATACCTACATATAACATATATATACTTATATTCTAACGTCGTTACTTTAAAGGGTTTCATGTGGTAATTTTTCTATAAAAAAAAGAAGAAAAAAGAATTTCATGCTTAGCTTAGTGTGACGCTTGGTGCTTGCTGTTGCTATTTCGCTGGCGTTGTTAGCTTTCAGAACACAGCGAGATATTTTTCTTGGTTATTTCCTTTTCCATACTTATTCATGTGGAAGTAGTTATAGCGCGTTTTATTATTTTTAGTGCTTTTTTTCAATATTCAAGCAAATATGTATATACATATATAGCATAAGTGTGGTACAGAGTTATAATTGTATGTGTTTCTATTTTATTTGCAACAAATTAACAGCTGCTTCAATCATTAAGAGCCTCGGTGTACTTATATAAGAGGGAATGTTGAAAGTGCCTACTTGCTGCTAATGATGGTGATGCAGTGAGCATGTAGTGCTCTTGCTTGTCTCTATTTTCTAGTAATTAAAATAATGATGATGCAATAAGCATTTCCGTTACTCATTAAGATTTGGCAGTGAACATACATAATTTAATTAGAGGAAAAAAATTTGCAATTTCCTCACTCTGAGTTATTTTTCAATGGTTGAGTGGAAATTTTTTTAGGAGTATATTTTACATACTATTATTGAAAACTTAGTCCATTATTCTTATGCAAACTAAGTAAGTATATCTTCGAATTTTAAGTTAGCTTTTCAGCTAAACTCTTTGAAACGATTTATTCAATCAACTGTTCCTATAAGTTTATATTTGTA